CCATCAGTTCTGTAGCCCCATCATAGAAGTTGGAAATTGGTCAGGCAGGATTTCCGCCTAGTGAAACCATGCTGACTGTCACCAACCACCTCGCTGTTTTTCATGTGCCTGAGCATTCTCTCCAGGAGAATCTGCTCCAAGATTTTGCTGGGCACAGAGGTGAGACTGACTGGTCTGTAGTTCCCTGGGTCTTCCACCTTCCCCTTCTTGAAAATGGGGGTTACGTTTCCCTTCTTCCAGTCATCTGGAACTTCACCTGCCAGCCATGATTTCTCAACTATGATGGACAAATGCTGCCACACTGATGCAGAATATGCCAGAACACCATTAGAAGCTTCCTCCAGTGCATAAATTGTTATTGGTGTCTGCTGATTCTTCTGCCAAAAGAATAAAACCACAAGAATCAGTCCTCTTGGTTTTATTCGAGGCATATCCTGGAATTCATATGGGCTGGGTACACAAAGGCTTGCAATGCCACTGGTGATTTATCAATCCTAACCTATCTCCAGATCTTATTTTAACATGCATAAAATTCTTCTCTGGGTGATGACTGACCTCTATTCCATCATAGGTTTTTGGCTTCTAATGGCGTTTTTAAGTTCATTACAAATGTAGATTCTGTATTAGATTTTTTCTTATTCTGTGTAAGTGTTGTGAGGAAGATCCACTTGACTCTTATCCAGTTGCCCTTTGATGTCCAGATTCTTTTTCAAGCTGCCAAGGCTTGTACATGCCAAGGTGTCACACAGCTCTTCATCAGCTGTTCTCTGCTCAGAGTTCTGGCTATATTTTCTCTTGAAAAGAATGTGTTCCTCCTTGTAGTTCAGGAAGTTTAATCCTGAAAAAGGAAATTGCACAGAAGCACCTATTAATTTATTTGGTTCTAGCACAGGTAAGACCTGTCAGTAAGGACTGCAGTGTAACTGCAAAATTGTTTCTGACTGAATGGTTCACTGAAGAATCTGTAATGACACCTCATGGACTATATTTTGTGTTGTATAGTTATAACCAGTCACTGTCGGCAAATGTAAAAAATAATTTGATAATCTTACAAAGAATCCATAACTCACCCATAACAAACATTTATAATTAGTCTCTTGTGTTTGTAGACTTTTAGTAGTTTCTGGTTGGGGCTGCCATTCTTCTTTTTATTATTATTCTGACGTGTTTCTTTGTTTCTCCAGCTCTAGAGTCTGTTTCTGGCCACATGCAAAGGACTTGAGTCTTTTTTTTTTTTTTTTTTTTTTTTTTTTTTTCTGTTTCTGTCTTGTTGACACTAGGCATAAGTTATAATGCTTGAAGAGCAGTCTTTGTAAATGGAACAAGCTTTTGACCAAAATAAATCTCAATTTGTCCTTCCAGCACAGTAACATAGCCTAGAACATGGCTTTACGAACTAACCCTGAAATCCTGCCAGCTTATACTCACATGTGCATTTGCACTAACAACTATTTGTTTTCCCTGTTCTTTACTCACAGTCAAAACCCAGTTAAAGTTTTGCCACAAGAGCAGTTAGAAGCTGAGTCAGAAATGCTTTATGTTCATGTTCATAACTTCTGGTCTTTGCTTATACTGTCTCAACAAAAAGAGTATCTTTCTTACTTTCATACTCCTTTGCCAACAGCTTTTATGAATTTGTGCTATCCTTTGCATTATTTGATATTCTGTTCTAGTATGTGTACAGTTAAACTCAGTTTTTATAATAGACCTCTTGTATACAAAGTAAACATTTACATTAGTTACTACATAATTTTGCACTGAGGTTTTATGTACATAACATTAGCGTATTTTTGCTTTTGCATTAGGAAGAAAAAATTGAGCCATGGGAGTAAACTAAAGTGAAGTGTTTCTATAGAAGGTGTGTTAGTGTACTACTAGCACTGAATCTTTACATTATTTACCTCAGTGTTTCAATCGTCATTACCTAACTATTGTTATTGTCATAACAATAAGCTCTGCTTATGTCTGGGCTTGTTGTAATTTTCTATTAAATTCTCCAGGTTCACAGTAGAACAGGAAATTGATCTGAAAGACGTCTGGAGAGGTCTCGGAATTACAGAGTTGTTCAGCAGCAGTGCTGACCTCACTGCAATGTCTGGTAAGAAAGAGGTTCTTGTGTTGTCTCTGAGAGTATATGAGGAAGTACTGAAATCACCTAAAGATAATCAACAAGCTCTTCAAACCAAAACTTGCTAGCAGTTTTCTGATCCTTCATGATTTTTGTATGATGCAAGATTGTGCTCGCTGTAGGAGCAATTAGGACAGGGGAGAAATCCATCAGAGGTGTGTGTGTGAGGTGTGAGATTTTTGACCTGGGAAAATTCACTCAGAGTATTTCAGAATTGAACCTCATTAGAAATGTAGAGAAAGTATAATATGATGCAAGAGGTAGATCCACATTGGAGCAATATATGTCTTCAGTGCCTTGATGACAAATGGGATTCACACAACGAGTGGCTTGTCATCTTTTATCTCCAGAGGCTGTTTGTTCATAGCATTAGGAGCATTAAGCTGTTGTACAATTAGTCATCTCCCCAGATACCTGCTTTATAGAAGTACCACAGGAAAGAAAGAGTTCTGAGATAAAAGCAATTTAGTCACTTATGTTGACAACACTTTATTTTCAGTAGTTAAAATACCCAATACATTTAGAAATTCAGGTGGAAATGGGATATTTATTCTTTTAATGCCTCCTAAAAGTTATTGAAGTGGCACTAAAGGTAATTGAGTCATCTTTGCCTGAGAAGTGATTTTACTTCTGTGTAACAAAAGTAGCCAGCAATCAGTGTATTTAGCATGGTCTGTCTAGACCCAAATTTTGGTAAACCCAGTTTTCTCTATCTAGAAGCATGTGCCTGTGTGAGATTGCTGTCATTGTTCTTGTAATATATGGTTGTATACTGCTCCCTGTATAGTGCTCTGTGGGTTACTGCCTAATTGGGCAGATAGATCCTTAGCTGATGGAAAATACCTGTTCTTAATTGTCTGTCTCTGGAAGCAATCACACCTGGGTGGTTTATTCAGAATAGTGGTAATGAAGGCAAATGTTCCTTTAAAATCTACAGCAGAAATGTTTGCAATTTTCATATCCTTCTTACTTTTGCTAAGTTTGAAATATTGTTTATAGTGTATCAGTAGTTTGTTCCACTGTTTTGCCACTTTCACTTTTCCAGTGAAATCATGGGAAAAGCTAGAGTTAGACAATGTGAAAAGAATTAAAATAAATGAAAAATCCTCCTTTAAAGAAATACCATTTTTCTGAAGAAAAAAACCCTTCTGTTTCTCTGCCACCACAAATAAAAGTAAGCTTTTCAATAAATTCTGGTCTATATATGGAAAAGTATTTCCTGGAGGAAAGATACTATGAAGAATGGAGAACACACATGAAGACTAAACCACCAAGGCAGCGTTTGTCTCATATAAAATGTCATGTAAAATTCATCTCTATATTAGGGGACTAATTCTGTGGTAGAGAGGCTAGCAGAAAGATTGGAATGTGCTTGTGTTTTAATCCATGTGACTAATGATTTGTTTAATGTTTTACATTTTTGACAATTGCTCTGTACAAAATCAAAGTATCATGTTTTGCATGACTGAATTAACTTCTCTGCCATTTAAAGATTAAGTTGTTTGTTAAGCAATGTAGAGCAGTGTATAGAAAGAATTCTTGAGTGGTACTGTGACTTTCTTGCTTTTCATTTAAAAGGGCAGATGCTGCCAGGTGATGAAAAGGTCATTCATTAATTAAGAATAAGAACATGTTTTTGAAGTAATGTCTTTTAATGAAAACCTCATTATTGAAGCTATGGAAATTAAATTTTAAGTAATTAAAATACAGAATAATTATCCTATTTCTAGTTTTCACAATGTAAAATGGGGAGGGAGGAGGAAGGGGAAAAAGGTGAAGAAAAATGTTGAAAGCTTGCTTTTACAAATACATGAATAGTATGTCAGTTAACAGAAAAGTTTGAAGCCAGCAGTTTACATGCATCTCACTGTCAGCCCTCTGGAAAATTTGGCACTTCATTAAACCGTAAATGCAAGGTTTACATTTTGAACAAAATGTGTGTCTGGACACTTAATTTAGGAAGATAGCAAATCATTAAAAAGAAAATCTAAGGAGATTTTAGAGAAATTCTGATGCTTTTAAAATTACTTCTCCTCCTGTTGCTCTCACTTTTGTGTTATATAATGAAATAATCAACGAAAGCTGCCTGCGATTTCAGCAACAGGCCTAATCCTACAATCAGATCCAGGCACAGATTGTTGACTTCAGTGAAATTCTATGTGGGTTTAGTGGCTATAAATCAAACTGCAGGATTACAGACTTATTTTTCAATATTCAGAATTTTTTGCTTTTTTCACTCAATCTGAAAAAATGGAAATAGACAAGTCAGCTTTACCTCCCATGATGTCTCAGTTGGGAGCAACCAAAGAGAAAGTATTAATCCAAATGCACATTTTAAATGTTACTCTCTTGCAGAAATCGAATTGTCAACACAGGTGAGTAGGAGGACATTCTTATTGGCTGTCTAATTGCATGTATTCTGACTCTCACTTTCAGCAAAAGACTTTGACAGGTTTTACTTGCATCTCTAATTCCATCAGGTGTACAAAATAATCTTGAAACAACTTCTGGTATTTGGGTTTTTATAATTTACAAAGCACGCGAACTTGCTATTTGAGTATTTTGACACCATTTAGGACTTACCCTTGAACTAATTGAAATACTGAAATTGGCCTTCTCTTTCAAATGTTTATAGTATTTCTTCTGTTGTATAATGCTTTAAATGGCAACCACCTTTAACCTCAAGGTGACCTGAATTTCTGTGAGCAGTGAAGTGATATTAATGACTTACTTTCACAATATAACGTAATTAGAAGGGCATCTGTAAATAGCTCTTTGAAGTCTTGACTGACATACGTAGAATTTTTCTGGGACAGCCTAAGCTAGAAAAGCCAATAAACCTGCATTCTTTTTCAAAATGAGACTTGAGAGCAACCAGTTGGCAGCTGTGAGTAGGAGTTTGCAAGCATATGGAGCATAATGACAAATGAAGTGTGATGCTAACGGAGTCATGTACATTAGAAGTAAGCTTCAGATTACTCCCACACGTTAATGGATATCTAGGCTGTGGTCCTGCAGAAAGCTTAAACTTTGATACTAAATCTCCATAAGACTTTTCTGAGATGCTAACGATCAAGTCATATTGGTTCTTATGAAAATCCAGATTAAAAGAAGCTACTAGAGAAAAATGACATGATAGTAGATATTCAGGTAAGTCTCACCTTATCCTATGAAAGACATAAGAAAAAGTTGTGTAATAATGACAAGATGGATATGATATTGAAGTATTTCAATCAGTGGTTTGACAATCACAAAACAGAACAAAGAACTCGGTGACGACATTATGCTTTCATGGGAAAATAGAATCATTCACTTTGGGGAGAGACAAATGAGAGGGATGTGGTAGTGGCAATATAAAGAGAAGAATCTAGAGAATGTCAAGTGGGCTGTGGAATTGCTCTTTTCACCATCCAAGAACAAAGATATCCAACGACGCAAAAGTCAACAAATTAAAACCAAATAGAAAGTATCTCTCTTACGGAGAACTTAACCACAGAGATCATTACTGGGTATTCCTTGAGGTCATGAGATTGATAGGATTAAAAAAAATAAAATGGCTTCAGAGCAATCATAACTATCTATACTACACCAAAGAAAGGCATTCTGTATATTCCGTGGATTAGAAACTTGGGTTAGGGTATAAGGCATGTGCTGGGTGAGAGGATATTTTTCTCTTGTAAGTTGGGCTGTAGTTTTCACCTGTAAGGCTTCTCGAACCTTGTTCTGAAACAATAATACTATCACTGACACAGTGTCCTAGGCTGATTGGACATACTGGTCTCATCTGCAGTGGCACTTCTTGTATTCCTGTCAACTGAATAAAATGTTGGTGTCTTGTTTTTTGTGGGTTCATTTTGGTTTGGTTTGTTGTTTTGGGTTTTTTTTTAATTAATACCCAGATATATTTACAAGTAAGCCTACTATTATACCTGGTGGTAAATACTAGCAACGTTTATGCTATCTATAAACTTGTCAGATGGAGACCAGCCTTCTGAGGTGCTAAGAGTTCTGACCAGAAATATACCACGGAGTACCATCACCACCACCACACTATGCAAAATAAAACATTCAGGATTAAGATACAGAGTATTGCTGTGAATATTACAGGTCACAGGAGCAGGCTTAAGTGTTGTAATCAAAAAGGTGATTGAAACACATGATTAGGCTAAGTGGGTAGTTCTTTGACTGTTATTAAACACAAAAATTTATTTGGGTTTAAGATAAGGAACTCCAACCTAGCATTTTTCTATAAAGGCTTCAAAGTTACTGTTTTCTTTTAGTATGTACAGTATAGCTCAGATGTTCAATAGTGCTTTGAAATGGACTCAGGCAAGGATAGCTTGCTGGAAGCTGAAATATGTAGAACTGACCAGTAAACTCACCAAGAATCCTGGTAACTGACATGTTTACAAAGGCAGCACACTCATAGCATGAGACATGCACAGCAGGATCTGATTTGCATGGATCTGTTGCCTTTTTTGCCTTGGGTATCTATCCATTATTACCTAAGTACTCTTGCACATCCAGTGTTTGTTCTAAAACAGTTTTTGAAAACTTGAGTCTTAATGGGTCCATCATGGAACAGAAGCTTTAGGGGATGACTATTGAACGCTTGATTGTACTATTTACTTAGGTTGTGATTTATTTTTTGCAGGTAATGCTTGAGGTTTAAAGATGGTGTTAGTGTTGGAATGCAACCACTTTGTGTTTTCAGGTAGCCTTTCTGTTGACAGTTACAGAGACAAAAGCTGTGAGAATTGTGTTAAGTGTTCAAGATAAGTAGGTGCTGCAAATATTTTTTTTTTTTTTTTTTTTTTTTTTTTAAGTATCTCAGTTGGAACTTGCAGTTGGAGCTTTATCCTAGTTTTCAAGATAGCATTACTGAAGGCTTAGAACGAAAGTCTTAAACTACAGGTTTTAGGATTCTAGGACATTTTACTACACACAGTCTTAAAGGGAATGACTTTGGGCTTTTGCCAGTGAGATTGAAGTTAAGCAGCTGAGCTAGGAGGCTTATTTCAGTTCAACGAGTGTATGTAGGAGTAATGAGATCTGCTGAGGAGAGACATTTTAAACTGTTGTTTCTTATGGTTTTAGCTTGCATTACTATTAGAACTAGTGGTTATCATTGAGAGCCAAAATAAATGGGTAACAATTAGATGAATAATCCCAAGCTTTCCTTTCTTAGTCAGCCTTCAGCTGATTTTGGTATTGAACACTTTGTGAAGGATCAGAAATACACAATCATGTAGCTGTCTCACTAGGGTGGTTAGATTAGTTTTTCATGGTTGTGTGTCTCCCTGTTGAGAAAGCCTTTATTCCTTTTTTAACTGCCAGTTGTGCTCTGTCATTACTGTGGATTTTATGTAGGTACGATAAATGTATATCTAATCATTGTTATGCCTTACTGATGAAACTTAGTCAAACAGATCAAATGGTCTTACATGTCTTGCTTCCTGCAAGTTGCTGAGTATTGCAATAGATCTGATCATTTAGCCACTAAAGAAAAGTAATGAAACAGCCACTGACTTAAGCAGGAGTAGGCTTGGACCAAAATTAAATACTGACAAAGAAGGATGGAAAATGAACAACTGAAAAATGCATAATTCCATGGTGTTTTTTGCATTAAATATTTATCTTCAGCTTCTTTTGAATATAATGACAAGAAAGAGGATACCTAATTATGCTGGAGGAAGTTTATATTGCACCTAATGCTGAAATAAAATTGTTTGTTATAAGCATTTAACATATAATGTCATAATCCTTTTTCCCAACAGTTGCTTTTAAAATCATCTGTTAAAGGAGTGTCTTTTACTCTGTCTGGTATGCTGGTGCTCTAGACAGTGCCATGCTATTTTAATACCGTAGTGTAGGAGAGGGCTATAAATTTAAGTGAGGTAGATTGTGCTATTTTAATAGTATAATAAATAGTATTGGCAGAAGGTATTTTAAAGCAACTGCTATATACAAAGCTCTTGTACTTGCCTACTTGGGATAGAAGGTGGGTAATAGTTTGGGGGGTTTTGACAGTGTTTGTGGGGTTTTTTAAGTACTTCATTCTTACCATCAAGCCACTTGAAATATGTTTTCTTTTCCTTTTCCAGATAACAAGGAACTTTACCTTGCAAAGGCATTTCACAAGGCATTTCTAGAAGTTAATGAGGAAGGATCAGAGGCTGCTGCTGCCTCAGGTACCTGACTGAAAAGCAGAGCTAAATCAAATGTCTGGTTATTCTGTGTTAGTTAATTTTTCAAAACTGACTTCTTGTACAGGCAGGAGAGGTAAATAATATGTAGCATGAAGATACAGCATAGCTAGTATACTGCTTTTCAGAAGACAATTCTGGAAATTGAAAGTGTTAACATTTTTTTTAAGGCATGTTGTGCAATATTCTTTTCTGCGAAAAGATTTGTGAAAATCTTCCTTACTTTGCTTCTGATCATAAGGAGGGTACAGACTGCAGCTTGTATTTTCTTTATGAAACTTCAGTATTCCTAATTTTTTATCTGGTAATTGAGATCGTCAGAGGTATTTCATTCAGAATAGTTAAGAGGAGAGTAACAGTTGTGGCAATTGCACTTGTATAAGCTTGTACACAGAGATGTAAGATTCGAAGCGCTAAGTGCAGAAACATAGCTGGCCCTTATTCATGCTAGGAGGCCAGGTAGTTTGTTTACTTGGTTATCTCATGCTTTTCCTGAAAATAAGTTAGATTAGTTGCCAATATGTATTGTTAGGTGATTTCTAATTGCCTGTAGTTGTACCAGTCTTTGAAGAAAGGAAGAGTTATTTCCCTGGTTGTGAATGTCAGTAACTGGATTAAATTGTAACATTAATATGGACAGAGATAACAGGCATGCATGAGTCTTTATTAACATTGCAGTGAAAATGTAAAGTAAATGAAACACTGAGAACTAATAATAATGTCCTGGAGGAATCTATGCATCTCCAAATAAAAGTAACAAAGAGCCAAATTCTGCCTGATTCCCAGTTAATTTTACTTTCAAACCCTGCATTATTTAAAGACTTAAGCTAAAAGCTTCAAGAGCAGCCCATTTAGTTGTCATATTCCATAGTTATTAAGGGTTACCTTTTACTATCAACTGCAGGCTTGGAGCTGTTTAAAACAGGTCAGCAGTGCTGTCTAATGTAATGCATTTTCTTTCTACAAGTGAGCAGGAGTCATAACTCCTCTTAGAGTTCTGGACCTTAAAATTTATAAGCTGCTCCCTTGGCCTGGGGAATTGTGCCACTGTGTTGTTAATCATTCTTAAAGCATAAATAGGCATGCAATTAATCTATAGGACTCTTTGATTTTCAGTTAGATTTTTTCATGCTATTTCTTGGTGATGCTTAGTGCTGAGCGTGGGACTTCAGTGTCTGCTCATGAGCTTCACAAGTATCTCTCATGAAGAGTAGGAGAATGTGCAGTGATGTTTAACAAGTTGTCTCTGTTCTTCTTCCTTTAGGAATGATTGCCATTAGCAGAATGGCAGTGCTGTATCCCCAGGTTATAGTTGACCATCCCTTTTTCTTTTTGGTCAGAAACAGAAGAACAGGTGAGAATATTGCAGATTCTTTCACATTTTTCACACTAATATTCATAGCTCTTGAAGTGTTCTGTGGCAAGCAAGGGATTAGAACAGCACTCACTAGCAAAAGGGGCAATGATTAAGGAATTCCTTAGTTTCATATTTGTAGTTTGTTTTAATGATGTGGATGTGACTGGATGACAAAAGATTATTATGCACCCATCAACTATCATACGTGTCTCTGTGTTCCAGTATTTTGCATTTTTTACAAGCAGACTCTGGTAGGTTCAGTTTGAAGGGGTTTTTTTGTATATTTGAGATCCCAATCATAAATATCAATGTATATTAATCCATTTAGGTTGCAGTAATACTTACAGACTCACTAGGTAGGATCATTCGTGTACAGGTTTTTTAACCAACTCTAAGTTGAGGATCACTGCTGTTGTAGACAGAATTAGGCAAAAGTCTTTCTGAAGGAGATCTGCTCTTTTCCCTACTCAATATACAAAATTCTTCTCAGAAAGAAAAGTTTAAATCAGAACTATGACGTCAGGGACAGTACTTCATGGACCCTCATCAGAAACATTGAAATGAAAGTGAACGTTTGTGTTGATTTCTGGTGTTTTTTTAAATCAAGCCTTTAGAATAAGCAGAGAGGCACTGAAATGCAGAAGACTTCACTGTTTTTGTCTGTCCTGTATCACTTCTGAATACAAAGAGGTCTTCTTCTCTAGCGATATTGATCCACTGTCTTTCATGGCTACTAAGTCCTCCAAGGCTTATATTCCTATAAAAAAATGTCCATCACATGCATTCTAACTTATTATCAGTATTCATCATCTTACAGCCTCAACTTTTCCTTTTGGTGCTGACATGTTCCTTTCCTCCCTCCCTTCCCACTTTTTCCACAGGTACTGTGTTTTTCATGGGAAGGGTAATGCACCCTGAAGCAATGAATACAAGTGGCCGTGACTTTGAAAAACTTTAACTGTCACCAGCTACCAAAAGAGGAGATAAGCACATAAAGTTTGAAGTTAATATATTTAAGGTTTTCCGTGTTTTCCTCCAAGATATTGTTTAAAATGCTTTCAGATCTAAGTGTGCAAAGTCAATTTCCAGAGGAAAGCTTACAGTATTAAAGTAATAGTTCTGTTTCTGTCATTGTGATTTCCGTGTCCTTAAACTAAAATCGTGTACGTGTCAACAACTGTTTCTTGTTCTAGTGAACTGTAAAGCAAAAAACTGCAAATTCATTACTGGTAATTTTTTTACAGTCCAAAGACTGACTTGATCAATGAGACAGGAGCGGAATGCATGCAGTTTTAAATAATGCAAATGGCAAACCTATATGATAATTTATTGTGTTTGAAGAACTACATCTGGAAAATGTGATCTCTTCCTGTTCCTGCAAAAGTAGTAAACAGACTGCAATACACTGTCTCATTGAAGTTAATGGAACAAATTAAGCCTAGTCGATTTTATTCTATAACATAACTGTGGTAGGCTTTGTGTGAACTCTCACATGTAATTCTGAAATGTTGCTTTTATGAATGCTCGTGCATGTGACTCTGCAATTGACCTTCCGTAACTGTTGATGCCAATAAAATCTGATCGCATGAGTATTTGAGACTAGTCAGTGTAGAATAGCTATGTATGTGACTGAAGTAAAATAGTTGAATAGTAATGTCATTCATGTGAATGTACTTTTCTCCCCAGAAGTTGTTGTTCTACTCTAACCTAAGCTTTGCAGATTCTCACTTTAGAGATCTAGAATGAGCTTTCTTCAAAGTAAAACAAAAAAACCCTTAATTTTAAATGTCTAAAAATGTTCAATTCATAAATGTCTAAAGGAACAACATAATCCTTCTGTTCCCTAACTTTTTATTGACAATAAAGTGACAGACAGGAGAGTGACACATACCACAAGTAAATATTAGCAGGGGAATTAGCTGTTGTTTCCATCTGCAAGAGGAGAAGTACCAGTTGTCAACAGAAAGGCATATAATTATTCCTCCCTCACTGTGCAAATATAAAGTGAACGGAAGTTATTAAAAAGGTAAGAGAATAGGAGAAAAGAAGGGAGGAGCTGCTTTGAAGCAGATCATAAATACAAACTTTTTGATAATAAGTGGGTTTCTTCTCATTCAATAGGAGTTTTCTCTGTTGAATTCTATGGGAACAAATGTGTATTGGCTGAACTTTAGTTACAGGCTTCTCTGGCATACATTCACTTCAAAACAGCATAGATATTGCTACCAAAGTTACTCATACAGGGAGAACTTCCAAAATCTGACACATTCTTCACTTTGTTTTTTATACTGCTGGTGAAAATCATGCAGGTCAAACTGCAAAGCGATGGATGTTCTCTGTGGAGGCTGGTTATGCTCCCTCAGAAAGGGCATTTGAACACATTTCTAGCCCTGCCTCCTTGAATTGTTTAGTTCTGTTGCACAGAGGAAAAAATGAAGCTCCTCAGTGTATTGGTATTGCTTATTACCCTTAGTGTATTATAGTCTGGACTTGGTGAGACAGGTTTTTTTTTTTTATTCAGATTTAGGCAAAAGAGATGTAATTTTTAATCTGTATAGCTAGAAATGTTATGCTTGGGAGGGAAAACAAGAGAGTGCTTCTAAGAAGGAGCAGGGAGTAATTTTATCAACGTGTAGAACTAGTCTCCCTGAAGGTAAAACCAGCTCCCTAGACCCAAGGGTTGGTTCTTTATCTTTAAATGACTCTGAACATCACCTAACATCTGTAAAAGTAACCCATGTGCTAAGGATCTCTTGTAGTTTTAACCTTATGGGAGCCTTATTTTTAAGCTATTACATTTTCTTAGGTTAATTTTTGAGGTGTTCACTCTCATTTGGAAAGATGAGAAAGCAGATGGCAACCTTCACTCATGTTATGTTCAGTTCATAGAAAGTTCTTCCTAACCAATTTCATGTTTTCTTTGCATTAGTTCCTTGCAGCATAGATGCTTCTTAGCAAGGGAAGGACTGAAGATAGATTTGAACTAAAGCTATGGAATTATGGAAGGACAGCTGCCAGTCAGATTTATAGAGGATATCAGGCAAGTGCACAGACTTCCCTAGCAGTTAGACTGAGCATAGGTGTAAGTGGAGTGGTGCAAAATTGCATATTCCAAATCTGATCTTGAGGAGTGCTTAAATGGGCATATAGGAAAACCAGCAGAAACAGAAATGCAAACACTACTTATTTTGCTTCGTAGTCTCCTAGTCCTTACAGATGTAAAATGGCCATTTCATGTTTTCTTGAAAATTGAGAATTACCTGGTTTTAAACAACATGAATTGATTTATTACCAAATTATGTGAAGATGTTAGTTGTAGACCACAATTAGAACAGCTCTCAATACTGGTTTTCAGTAGTGATAGTATCTTAAGCATTGTTAGCAATTTATTGAGGTACATGAATGCTATTCTATTGTGGGTTTTCATCTGGATTTTGTATAATGTTCCTTTCAAAGACTCTGTTGCTTTTCAAGACAAAACTAGCAAAATAATTTTGTCTTTTTGTGTTTGATATTTTGTAAGGGGAATTTGTCAATAGTAGCTCATATGTGAGTTTGGGTGTGTAGTCTCACAAAAAATTTTAAGAATTGTATTTTGTGTTGGAGACTATATCAGAAAATAAATTACTGAAACTTCCGTAGTTGTGCTGTGTAAGTGACCCATGGTGTGATACTGTCTGCTGACATCCTTCTGTCATGCAGATGGAGTTAAAGCATGAAAAACACTTGCCTAATGCTGTCATCATCTTCTTTCTTGCATACGTGTGCTTGAGTCCAGGTGGAAATGCTTTTCAGAGCTGCAGTTGGAAAGAGTAGTTTTCCTATGAATCTTTTTAGTAGGGATGCTACCACTGGAGACTGATTAAATAAGATCCCATTTGTACGTGATCTTGAACACCACGTTTTCTGTATTAGTGCTGCATTCAAAGAAAAATTTGTCATGTTGTATGAATTAGAATGTTTTTGTTGCTGTTCCAGGCACTTAATTTTTACTGTCCTTTCATAAGTCTCAGTGGTGGCAGAGTAAAGTGTTGTATCCATTTCCCTGAATCAAGTACATGATATTTCTAAAAAAAATAAGATCCTAGTGCTGTACGGGAAACACAAAAAAAAAAAACCTTTTTTTTTTTTTTTGTGGGTAATTTTTAGTTTTCAATGCAGGACAAAAGAAGAAACCACAAGATGTCACTGTATCCTAAGAAGCTGAGAAGTACTTCCCCATTGACAGTAATCCTATTGGGAGTGTTGAAAAGCTGAATATCCTGAATGGGACTCAAATATGTTTAGGTTTTGGTAAAATTAATGAGAGTTGCTTGAGTCTGAGAGTATATTTAGACCCAGGTGCCTGAGATTAATAATAGGGGGCAGGGGGAACAAACCCAAAAAAACCCTTGATTTGTGTTGCAGACTTTTCCCTGATTCTCAAACACAGATTGCTGGATTAAGTTCGTTGCTCATAGGGGACTTTCTTTTGTCCAGTTCATAGCCTGCACGATTGCATTGTGTACTTAGTGCGGGGTGAAATAAAATAAAAGGTCTGTTCTTTCAGTCCATCTCCATGGACAGCAGTAGAGCTGTACTGTGGTTACTTCAGAAAGTCAGTTCTGCAATAGAAGACTTTTTTTTGACTACAAGAGAGAAGTAACCGGGGTTGAAGTTCTTGATATGCTGGCCCTATTGTTCTGTTGTTGTTCTCTTTTTGCTTACCTTTATTTCCCCTCTTCCTTGCTGCCTTACATACCATCACTAGAATTTCTTCAGGAGCAGATTCCCAGTGTGTCCTCTCCTTGTACAGTGAGGTTACACCACTCTTTGTGTTCTACTCTCTCCCTGGGAAAGAGGCAATATTGTTCCTCTGGGGATTTTCTGAAAAAGACAACAAGGCATACTCCAAAAATGGTGTTTACAAGCAAATGCTTGAGTTGTTTCTGTCCCTTTTAACGGGCAATCTTTGCTTTGTCCTTACAGTAGAAAATGGAAATACATGGATTGAAGAGAGATGGATAATTTACCCCCAAACCTCAGTGCCAGGGTGGAGGAAAACAGTACCTTAGTAACTCAGATAATACCAGCAAGAAGTGAGTTGGCTTCCCATGTGAACTACTCTGCATCTATTGACACAGTTGATGAGAAATTGTAGGTTAATTTAGCTTGTAAAACTCTGCAATCCCCAAGAATTTTGGATCAAGCTGCAGTAGTTACAGAGGTCCAGACAGAATGAAGATTTTGCCTGCTGCTTGGGGACCTTTGCTAATTGGTTCAGTAGCTTGTCTTTCACTTCTAGCTGGGCTTGGTTGAGGGCTATAAACCAAAGTTGCACATGAGAAACCATTTGCAATACGCAAGCATATTTGGTAGTTTAAACTCAACAACACTACATCTCTGTTACCACATCTACCAGGGCTTCTCAAACAATGTTCGCTTTATATAGTACTGCTCTTACAATAATAGCCACATGAATGTTTTTCATTTCACAGCATTAATTAGAAGCCTGAGTCATGGACCAATTGCTCTAGGCATTAGGCAAACTCAGTAAAAAGACAAAAGTCATGTAAGAAAATGCGGTTTAAATTGCAGTTTGTAGACAATAGCATAGTGTCATAATCAAGGCTGTGTAAAACTAATGAAGGATATCAGATTTATTCCCAGTTACTCAGGTGGGCAGGTAGATGGAGAAAGGTGGTGAAGATAAATGTTATTATCGCTATTTTAGAAATTGCTCAGGCTTTTTCAAAACACCTTAAAAATGCAGCCTCCAAACCCTGTTAATGGCTGTGCCTGGAAGCCAGGCAGTTAATCATCCTCAGATAGATGAAACTCCAAACAAATCACAGCAAAGCTCAAAACATTGGCAGCTGTTTGTGAAAAACATAGTATGCAGAAGTCTTCGTTTCACTTTCAACTTTAAGCTATGATAAAATAGTCTGAATTTTTTTTTCTTAGTAATGTGTTCACAACCTCAGGTTTTGGACATTACTCTGGCAAATAGTGGTAGCAAAATTCCAGGTCTACTAGAACCTAGTTGAGGAAAAACTGAAATTGTTCCTGCAGCTAGGGAATTCAGCCTGTTGCGTGAGATTTTTATCCTTTCAGCCACACTGAATCACAATATGAATGATGTTTCAGATATGACACACACTTAACTGGTAAGTTTCCTTACTGTCTCTCTCATAAGTA